AGAGCTATGTATTCAAATGATGGAGCAACGATCGGCCCCACAAAGAATAATGCTCTTGGCAGATGTTAGTGCAGCTCTCCTAAACCACTTTCCCCGAAAAATGAAAGACCTTAGTGCTCCTCTCATAAGCTATGTCATCTCTAGAATCACCTTTGATCGGGCCTTATTAGATCTAGGGGTCAATATGAATATGCTTCCGTCCATTCATGATAGGTTTAGGATCGGCAAGTTGGAACCTACCCCGGTAATTCTGCAGCTCGTTGATTGGTCAGTCAAAACTCCTTTAAGTATTATTGAGGACATCATTGTCAGGGTAGAGGGTTGTCACTTCCTAGTGAATTTCATCATCCCAGACATGACCCTAACCAAGGAACTGAACCACATCCCGATAATCTTAAGATGTCCGTTTCTAGCAACGGTTGATACAAATATCAACTGTAAATCGGGAGAAATGGACATTTCATTAGGGGAGCAGAAAGTCCGGTTAAACATTTTTAGTGCCTCTAAGTATCCAAACCTAGGGGAAGATGAATTCAAGGTAGATATAGTGGATAATTTTTAAATGACCTGTGTTACTCCTTGGTTAGCCCAGTTTGAGGCCTATCTGTCGGAAGAAGAAAGTGAGTCAGAGAGTGTAGATGGACAAAGTGCTTGAATGTGTCCGGCTGAAGACGTTAAACTTAGCGCTAGTCGGAAGGCAACCCAACATAGTTTTTAGTGTTTTTGCTTTTAGGATTTGTTTTTCTTTTCTTGACTCGAGACTACATGGCATACCTTGAACCCCTCAGGAGAACCCTACTCATTGTTCCCTTTGGCCCAAATCTTCTTTGCATCATTCTAGTCATGTCATTAGGGACAATGGCATTTAAATGGGGGGGTGAGGAAAGAGAGAGAAAATTGAAAAAAAAAATTTGTGAAGCTAAGCCTTTAAAGATGGAGAACTAAATTTTCATTGAAATTTTTAAAATTTTCCATTAAAAGATATTCCCAAATAGAAAAAGTTAAGGAAACTGATAAAAGAATATTGAATTCTGTAGAAATTGGTAGCAAGTGATAGGAGTCAAAAATTGGTCTTGTTTGAATATTGTCGAAACCGTTTAGAAATTAGAAAATACTCCCAAGTTTGCCCTTGTTAAGATAGGAAGATAAAGATTGAGAAATTAGACAAAATTCTTTAAATTGTTAAGAGACAGTGGATGACCCTGAATATTTCTGCAAAAAAAAAAAAGAATAAAAGGTCAATGGACACCCTAGACTTAGTAACCGAGTCTCTTCGCCTAAGTCAAGTGTCAAAATTCGGATCAAACGGAAAAGGGAATGCCAAAGACACTTACCTAACACTTAGTAACCGGGTCTCTTCACTTAAGTCAAGTGTCGAGATTCGCGTAAAACGGTGAAAGGTAACAATAAAAATAAGTTCAGGGGTAGAAATCCACTGTTAAAAATAATAAGAAGCATACTTGTTTGATTTTAAAATCAATCTCATCTTATCAAGACAATTTGCAAATGGAAGGGTAAATAAGATTTTTAATCCATGTTTTAGTAATATTCAAAATAAGACAGTTTTACCCCTAAAGCCCAATACCGATCTATATAGAGTTTGAAAATGCTGGAATCAGGATGCTTGATTAATTCTGTTAGGGGTGACCTTGTAATGGGAAAGATATATATACTTAGTATAATCTTAAGGCTGCATTGCTAAGAGACTAGCAATGGTTAACTTGGGGGTGTGATAACCCTGCATTTTGATGCCTTAAGGGCATCAATTCAGGGGTATTTCGGCCTTAGAATAGTCAAAGTGTACCATTTTCCCAGTTAAAATCAATTATGTGACCTCTGAGGGTCTCTATGCAAATTATGTAGAAAACTGGGAAGTTTTCTAGGCTGAAGTGTAGTTTTTGGGAAGCTGGTGTAAAGACCAGTTGAGAGAGGGGGTATTTTTGTAAAGAACTGAGAACAGGAGGGCGCCTACTATCTGCTAAACCCAGTTGGCGCCCATCCTATTGTATTACCATGCTCCCCACTCCTTAGCAAACCCTAGCCGCCCCTAGGTGTTTAATCTCCACCCTCCACCTTTTTTAATCTCAACCACTCATTTTAGGTCTCTCCTTTATAGCTTTTAAACCCTAGGGCTCCACCTATTCTACTAATCCTCACCATTCAACCCCTCACCTTCAAATCTCAGCCACTCCCTCCATCTTTTATTCCAACCATTCAATATAGGGCACCACCTATTCTTTTAACCCTTCAACCCTACATGTTCTAGTCTACACTCCATTTCTGGGTGCCCAAATCTCAGCCCTACATAATATTGAGCACTCTCTCCTTTTATTTTCAGCCATAGGATCACCCCAAAACCATCTTAGCCATCCATTAGAAATCCTAGGGCGTCCCTAACTTTGCTAAATCCCAGTTGCCGCCCCCATTTTTCTCCCTATTTCTAGTTGTGTCCACCATTCTCTATAAAAAGGGTCCTAGGGGCCCTGTAGAAGGGATTGGGCAATTCACCCAGTTAACAAGACTATGGTTTTTTGAGGAGTTCAAGGGTTGTAGAAGGGGAGGACGCTCAAATCTTGTCAGGAGGGGTTCCTACAAGCTGTTCAACCAATCTACAAACTACCGCCACTAGATCGGATCAACCATTCTTTTCTTTTCTGTTATTTTTATTTCTACAATCTTTTAGATTTAATTCTTGTTCGTTTCTCTGTTTTGTAGATCTGAATTCGTTCGGTTCAAGGCTAAGGTGTCTCGAGGGGTTCGAGGGTTGTAGAAAGGACAGACGTCCGGTTCTTGTTAGGAGGGGTTTCTACAAGCTGTCTGGCAGATTTGCAGCTACCGCCACCGGATCCGGATTCTGGATCGTTTATTTATTTATTTCTTTTATTTCCTTTGTTGATTCCCATACTTTATTAAATTCTAATTTTTATTTATTGCCTTGTTTAAATTCGAAACATTTAATTTCAGCAATAATAGATTCTATTTTCTTATTTTCTGCAATTCTCTTGTATGGATCTAAGTATATATTAATTTTTCACTTGCTTCCCTGTGGATACGACCCGTTCTCACCCATTTACTACATTAGTAGTTGTTTGAGAAACGGTAAAAATTATAAATGTTTAAACTGGTGTTCTGGGGTGTTTAACGACATGCTTTCGGACACACCAAGATTATTTGATTTCCTTTTCAAGGGTCTAATAGGTTTCTTTTGCATGATCACAATCAAGATAAAAATTAAATTAATAACATATAATTTTAGACATTAAAACTACTAAAGATTAAAGAAGAAAAAAGAAAAAGAAAAGGAAGGTAACATAATCCCAAGTTAGGTAGTTTGTGCAAGAAAACCAAGGAAACATATGATGTGAATACATTAGGTATGTATTTGGAGTTGTGGACATTTATTCATTAAAAGTTTATATTTGTTTGTTTGCAAAACCGAGAAAAGCAATAATGAACCCATTTATTGATACTTAAGTACTTTTAGACACCACATCAGCAAAACAATGAATAAATGCCTACCTGTTGGGGGAAGCACTAAAATAAAACTTCCCCCAAACAGTAAATGCACACATAAATCAAGACCTGCCTTTTCAAATATTGGCTCAATTTAGAAGAAGTACAAATACAAATTTATAATGTGCAAATACATACAAAATAATACAAAATTTAAGGTTTTACACTCTACAAATTTATATTTATACTCCTTCCAAACTGAACCATACGTATGGATCTACATAATTATGGAAATGTTTAAATTACACCTATGTGGCAGCATTTATTCAATATATGCCCAGGTTCCAAATACACGCTAAATGGTTGGTTTGTAGCTTTGAACTTTTCTGTTGGAATCTGCTAGTGCTGGAATCTGCTAGTGCTAATTATATAGCAATGCACCTTTGAATCTATAAGTATGGATAGAGTATATTGTAGTATACGTGAGAGTCTGTAATTACATGCTCCCAAGCATGGTTTTTAAAAATGACCCAGAGATTGAACCGGTCAGGGGTCCGGTTATTGGGTTGAACGGGCCAAACAATCTAACAAAAAATTAAAAAATTAAAAAACGATCAAAATGGTTCAAACAATTATTTGTCCGGGTTAGCGATTTGCTAACCAAAATCAATGGTTTTGGGGAAAATCAAAAACCGATCACTTGATCGGTTCCAGTTTTTCTAATTTGATCGTTTGGTCCGATCCGATTTTGAAAACCATGCTCCCCACATCATTGCGCCAAATCCATATCATTTTGGAGACCGAATCTGCTCCTTACACCTAGCGCCTCACACACACATCCTATCATGCATTGCGAATATCTCCCGTATTTATCAATTATTATTCACGGGAGATGTTCTCAATGCACGGTGGATGTTCATGTGAGGGCGCCCATTTGTGAGGAGAAGATCCCGTCTCATCATTTTGAAAAGTTATTTGCTCCTCACACAGCGCATGTCACATCGATTTTACAGTCTATCCACCATGTATTGCGAATATCTCCACATGAATAACAATATAAAGCACGAGCGATTTTTTTAGGGCTACGTGGTTGTGAATTGTGATGGTTGAATCAAGTTTCTTTCTCTTCTTGATATAACTGAAGGTTGTTTGACCATTGACAATGTCGCATAGAGTATAGATCCTATCCCCGCAGTTTATACACCAGTAATCGTGATTGGGGAAGAAAAACTAGTCAAAGTCACTCACAGCCGTCGATTAAACGGTAATGTCTACCGGAATAGGAAGCGCCTCAAATCGTATACTTTGATTGTTTGACTTTGACCATTCAAAATTAATTTTCTTTCAGATGGCAATATTTCATTTCATCACGCTGCACCAAAGACTCAGCATCCCTGCTGCTGCAGTGGTTGACGGGGCCCATTCCCCCGTACCCACCTTTTTATTATATATATATCTTATCATATTTTATTTATTTCTTCTTCTTCTTCTATCTATAGATATATACTCTTTCTATCCTGAACCTCCGTGTTTATGTAATTATACATAAATCTCAAAAATAAGAAATAAAACAAAATTAACTTCAGTTTCAAGTCCGTCTATGTGGTAGAGCGAGAGAGAAGAAGAAGAGGAAGAAGAAAAAGAAGAGGGAACACCTTCCTCACTTTGCGCTGCGAATAGGAAACCAAGGCAGACTGCTGCTGCTGCTGCATAGGCAGAATACCTTTCTACCCCGATCGCCGTGGATGGGCCAGTCGGTTTCGACTGCCGGTATCCCATCGGCGTCAAACCGCCGTGATTCCATCAACCCCAGTCACCGGACCAAGAATAGATCGATGGGTTCAATCTCTCCTGTGCAGGTCGACGTGACCCCCGAGCTTCAAAACGTAGACGGGACTTGTGATTACATTTCTGATCTTCCGGATGAGTGTTTGGCCTGCATTTTCCAGTCCCTCGGATCCGGCGACCGCAAACGATGCTCTCTCGTTTGTCGCCGGTGGTTTCGGGTTGAAGGACAGAGCCGACACCGCCTATCACTGAAGGCCGAATCCGATCTCCAACCTCTCATTCCTTCTCTGTTTTCTCGATTCGACGCTGTAACCAAACTCGCTTTGAAATGCGACCGACGATCCGTCAGCATCGGCGACGATGCTCTCCTTCAAATCTCTCTGCGATGCCGAAACCTTACACGACTCAAGCTTCGTGCTTGCCGCGAATTGACCGATGCCGGCATGGAGGCATTCGTTAAGAACTGCAAGGGTTTGAAGAAGTTATCCTGTGGTTCCTGCATGTTCGGTGCCAAGGGCATGAACGCAATCCTGGATAACTGTTCCTTTCTCGAAGAGCTGTCCGTCAAGCGCCTCCGCGGCATCACGGATGGGGCTGCTGCTAAGCCTATCGGACCGGGTGTCGCTGCCTCGTCCCTCAAGATTATATGCCTCAAGGAGCTTTACAATGGACAGTGTTTTGGTCCGCTTATCGCCGGCGCTAAGAATCTCAGAACTCTAAAACTATTTCGTTGCTCCGGAGATTGGGATAAGCTCCTGGAAGCCATCGCAGATCGAGTTACTGGTTTGGTAGAAGTCCATCTCGAGAGAATCCAGGTTAGCGACATAGGCCTCGCAGCTCTCTCAAGTTCCTTGGATCTGGAAATTTTACACCTTGTTAAGATTCCCGAGTGTACAAATGCGGGACTTGTATCCATTGCCGATCGCTGCAAGTTGCTGCGCAAGCTCCATATTGACGGATGTAAGGCAAATAGGATAGGCGACGAGGGTCTTATTGTCGTTGCTAAACGTTGCCCTAACCTTCAGGAGTTGGTTCTTATTGGTGTTAATCCTACTTCTTTGAGTTTGGGGTTGCTCGCAGCCAATTGCCAGAATCTGGAACGATTGGCTCTATGTGGTAGTGATACTATAGGTGATGCCGAGATATCGTGTATTGCTGCTAAATGTATGGCACTGAAGAAGCTTTGCATCAAGAGCTGCCCCGTCTCTGACCATGGTATGGAAGCTCTTGCCAGCGGTTGTCCTAATCTGGTCAAGGTGAAGGTTAAAAAGTGCAGGGCAGTAACCTGCGAGGGTGCGGATTGGTTGAGAGCATGTAGGGGATCATTGGCTATCAATTTGGATATAGGTGAAGTTGAACATCAGGATGCCAGTGCTAGCGATGGTGGAGCCCAGGAGAATGGCGTGGAGTTTCCTCCAATGGTCACCCAGATCGCTGCTTCTGATATTCCATCAAGCAGTAGTGGTCGATCAACAATGTTCAAGTCACGGTTAGGCCTTTTTGCAGGGAGGAGTCTTGTCGCATGCACTTTCAGGAGATGGTCAAGCAGTAATAGCAACTCCCAGAATAATTACTGAAGGAATTGTAGAAAGGTGGAATGAAACAAAATGCACATTCTGTGTTAACATTTCATGTTGTATCATTAAATGCTGCCTTGTTTCTAATATTTGCGTGTTGTTATTTATTACCTTCAAAATTGAATCCCTTCTGTTCGAAATTGAAACTGCAAGAAATTTTCAATTCTCTCTTGCTTAATTATATTTTCTGGTCTTGTGTTTTTGACCTTCTTTCTTGTATGACTGATTCCTACAATGGCTCTTGTTGTTTACATCGTTCCTTTTTCTCTATTGGTATACAAGAAGATGGCTTTATTGAACTTGTTGAGGGGCACTTTTCTAACAGTATTAGCATGATATTTGCAACATCCAGAACAGATTTGTGTTTCGTTAGGCATGCTTTTGGAAATTTCTGTTTTCTACATATAGAATAAATGGATTTGAATATAATGTTCAAGATGCTAATACCTGACATACCAGTTTGTTGCATATCCTCCATTCGTTCAAAACTTTGAATGCTAGAGCATGATGAAATCTTTAGTATTTAGTTGTTTCTCAGTCTTGATTTAGACAGAATTGAGATATGGGAGCCTAACTTGCTTTATATTTTTGTAAGCAAATATGTAGTTAACAAGCTCAGAATCTTGTTTATACATGACATTTTGCATGTGGAAAACTGCACCTGTAATTAGGTGTGCAACTTGGGCGGGCTTGGGTTGGGAATTTGCTAACACTTGAATGGGCCTAGCCCTGAAGCTTGAGCCTGATTTAGTGTAAATTCTTGAAGTTGATTTACATCCTATCTGTAGTTCAGAATAGGTCTACATGTTTCTGTACTTAACCTCTTTCGATGTGTTAAAGGTTTGGCTTAAAAAAGTTTGAGACCCCCCCCCCCTTTTAATTTTTACGAATAGATGCGACAATTATGTTTGGGGAAATGTGATCATGAGTTAGAGATAGGAATAAAAAATGGCAGAAAACCCCTCTCATGGATGGCTTCAAAGATTGGAGTGACAGAATAACACATTCATTTAAATGAATTGAGGGTAAACTATATAAGGCAATTTCCTTGTTCAGTGGTTAATGGTAGATCCTTGTGCGTTTTAAGAAACAAATATATCCCATATTTGTGGAGATCCCCCAGCCAAAAGTAAAATTCATGCAAGTATCACTGCTTTATGAGTTTAGACCATCTCTTCCAAGTTGAAGAAAATTAGATGATATCTAGTTTTGAGCTATCAGCTGAGTTAAACAGCTAATGTATTCCTTGATTCTTTCTTTTCTTGCCCTTTTTTTTTATTCTTGATTCATTAACATCATTGTCTCAGCGGAATTCCAAGAAAAAAAATCTTTAGATGGATCATCCTTTTAAATTGTAATGATCTTTTGGGGTATGCCATTTGGCATGTTCCAATATTTGGAAACATGTAATATACTGCAGGGTCCAGTAAATTTACATTGATGACTTGATTGGGATTCACTTAGCCTTTCTGTGTACATGCTGGATTGGGTAATACTTCCGGTTTGGACTATATGGTGTGGTCAGAATGGCTAGTATACCTTGTTTTATTTCTTGTTGTTTATAGGTTCTATAATTACTTTATGGTTCCTCTTCTATCCTTCCATTGTCATCATAAGAACTTTTGCCATAAATTCATCTAACTATTCTATGTATATAAAATTTTCTTACAAAAAATGCATTAAAAATAGATTATATTTGCCGAATCATCAATTGTCTTTTGCCTTAATTAGGATTAATTAATAGTACTATTTTCTGTTGCATATAAAAGAAAGCTTGACTGAGTACTATGCATTTTCTATGGTAAAAAATTGAGCATATACTATATACCTTTTGGTTTGTTATAAAAGAAAGCTTGACCGAGTCCTCTCTAAGATTTGGATCAACTTGTCACTATGCAAAGTCATACATGGAGACTTGACCTATGTTTTATACTTTTTAAATCTGAGAATGCTCCATTTCTGTTCTTTATTTTTTGTCCTATGCATAATATTTTTTGCTGTGTATGACTAGGTTTTGCATATAATTGATGGATAGCTTCTTATGCACGTGAGGCTCTTTTGTCTTAGTACATGCATATCATATGTGCATATTATCTACATAATACATGCATTGTGTCCACATGCCTGAGCAAAAATGGTTAAGGTTACCAGCAGTGAACCAGTGGTTGCAAGGTCCTTGCATTGTGAAACTTGTAAAACTTCACTGCAAACCCAACCACCCTTTTGTTTGTAATTAATTCTTATGGTACCAGTAACTGTTGTTTCATAATAGCTTATTCTTGCAAATTGGTTCTGATCTCAAAGCTCTTAATTGTTATCAAACTTGTCACACTAACTTAGTTCCATCGGCTATATTCTCCATGTTAGATAATACTATAATAATTGTCATTTCACACCTGGGTAATATATTTTTTATCTATATTGCTTCCTTCTCACTTCTGGGTAATATATGTCTTCAAAAGCTAAAAGAAAGTTACTTGAATATTTTTAAGCATTTTTCTGCTATGGGAACCTTGTTTGAGCAGATACACCCCCAGTTCAGGAGAAATTTAAATGATTGGGAGCAAGGTTCAAAGTATTGATACGATACGAGTTTCAGTCGTATCATATCGGTACTTAGAAAGGGCCGGTACATACTTTTTTTTTTTAGTTTTTTTTTTCAAAGTTTAGTTTTTTGGGAAGCTTATAAGATATTTTTTATTCTTAAAAAAATTGGGGTTCCGAAACACCTGGAAACAGGCGTTTTGGACCATATCTTTTTCAAAAGATACGATACGATACGCCCCGTATCGGGCGTATCGTATCGATACTTTGAACCATGATTGGGAGGTGTCATCCCTAATCAGATATTCTGATTACTCCAGCTGCTGTATGACTCAAATACCAGGAATAGTGGAAGCTAAAAGGGTGTGGAGTTCTCTAAGTAATGAAATCTACTTTGATTACTGATCAAAAAAGATAAAAGGGTGTGGAGCTTTGAGAAATCAGGGTTGTTCTCTGTGAACTCTTTCTTTAAAGTTGTCTCAGAGGAGGAAGAATCTCTTTTCCAAGTCAAAGAATATGGATTAAAGCTGTACCTTCAAAGATAGCTTCTTTTGTTTGGTCAGCAATGCTGGACAAGATTCTAACCAAGGAGAATTTAGCCAAAAGAGAGGTAGAAGTGGCAGACTTGGCTTGTCCCCTATGTAGTGGGAATGTGGAATCCTCTAGTCATTTGCTGTTACACTGTGATTTTACCCACTGGGTTTGGTTAAGTGTGGTGGATTTATTTGAGGCTAAACTGTGCTTCCCAGCGGATGTAAAGGGACTCTTAGAGGCTTGGTGGCTGGGAGGTCTTAGTAAGGCTGGAAAGGTGGCATGGAGCATCATCCCCACTGCTGTTATGTGGGCAGTGTGGAGTGAAAGAAATAACAGAATATTTGAAGGAATTCAGAACTCAAAAGATGCACTTTGGAAAATTCTGGGGATGATGTGCATGGCTGGCAATACACTCGATGCTTAAAGGCAGATATCCAAGTGTATTTTTTGAATTTATTTTTCTGTTTGTAAGGAATGGATAGTTTTTTGTTTTTTGTTTGGGGGTATTGAGGCTGTATTGGGATGAGATGGTTTTTTGTATATCCTCTGTTCATTTCTCTTTGTACAGGGGTTTTCTGTAGTTGATTTTATTAATGAATTTGTAAAGGGTTAGTGGTGTTTAGATGCATTTTGCATTCTGTTCTTTGAATACTGCAAATTGAATGATTTTAGCTTTTAGTTAATTTATTATTTTATTAATGAGCCTTCTCACGCTAGCAGGTTATGAATTTGACTCACTTGATGCTTAAGTGTACATAGCTGCTGCTTTCCTGGATTGAAATTTATCTTTTGAATTTTGTTCACATGTGAGTGGCATTGCGTTCTTGGAGCTTTGTGTTTTCTCTATCATGTGTAGTTGTTTGTTTACCAAACTCCAAAACAATAAGCACATGATATGCAGTATGCGACTATCCGCTAGTACAGGCCCTACATAGACTGCAACAAAGTTTGTGCTCCCTCCAGCCCCCTTGGGGAGAGGGATGGTTATCAATTTAAGCTACAAAAGAACGTAGTTCAGATGATATTTTTGTGTAGCCTTTTGTCAAGGTTCAAGTCTGAACACTCATTTTTGCTTTTGCTTTCCAAGTCATCTGGCGACTTCTGGTACTTATTTCTGGCTGAGGTTTATCCCTCCCTTTGATTTATTTATATATTTTGGCTTCCTTCCTATCTCATTAAACTGTTTACCCTACTTGTTACATACAGGTAATTGATGGCTATATGTTTTCATTTCTATTATCTTGACTTGCAACAAGATCTACCCTCCATGAAAGGACTTCACGTTTTTAGGATATTGATCTTAGGTGACTTGGTTGACATTCTAGGATCTTTCTCATCATGTTTGTAGAGATTCTTTTTTCCTGCTCAGTTTGGTGTAGTATTCAGTGCAATCTGTTATTTACTTATTTAATTTCTTGAATGACACGATAAATCAAGCAGGAGTTTAGTGCAATGCCTGAAGTTTCATAATATTTCAAAGAGGAGTTTATTCTTTTCATTTTGGTTTCAATGATCTGGAATGTTGGTTTCAATTGGTTGGTTTTATTTTTACCAATATATTTCCTACAATACGTTATTTGATTGATGACGGCTATGTATTTAGCCCAAGGTAAGGCTTTCGCACTCACGAAGTACTCTGGTAATTGAATGAACTAATAGGACTCGTCTTGATTCTTGCAATGACGCGGAGGGAAAGAATGCGTCTAGGGAACTTAATTGTTTGTATATCAAAAGAAATGTTCTTTTTTCATTTTGCCGGAAATTCAGTTGTGACGCAGGTAATGTAAGGAGATCTCTGTACAGCTGAAAATTGCTACAATGTTTATTTGTTAATTTAAAAATGATGCCTTTTCCTGGTAAAGAGGAAAAATAGTTTTGGATTTTTAGAGGCTGAAGATTCGGAGATCTTTATAGTGGAATGTAGAGAACTGAAAAAACGTGTTTTGGGCACTGGACAGGTTTTCAGAGTGTAGTTTGTCCTTTCATTTGCTTTTGGGTTGATGAATTCTTCATTCGATCGAAATGTTGGATGGTTGAGAGTAGTGCAACCGAAAACAAGTTATAGTGAGACTTCTTCGACGTGCAAGAAGCTACCCTTGGTTCGTCTTTTTCAGTATGGAATTATGGGCAGATGAGTGG